GCGTTTCATGTTTCATCGCCAACATACGGGTCTCCAAATATGGTATCCACCTCGTGGATAGGGGCCTCATTCTGGGCTTGTCGGTTTCTTCGGTATTTGTGCCCTTCCTTGGGCCTCTTCGTATCACGCTCCCTTCGTCGTGGGGAACATCCCTTTGACGAGGAGCGGCCTCCTCGCGTCCACATCGGTTGTTGTACCTAGGCGGGGGCCTATTTGCCTGGGGCGATTCATTTCTATCCCTAGGGGGTTCCAGTCGGGAGCGGTGGGCAAAGTCTCGGCAATCTGCTGTGTCGTGTCCATAGGACCTGTGGTGTACACAGTATCTTGGTGAATTCTAATTTGACCTATTTGTAGGTCTCGAACACCCGGCCTCGACCTCTCTCCCTCCGGGATCCTTGGGGGATTTCCATCTGCTGGGTGTTAGTTATTAGGTTGATATCCTCATATGCTAAGGTAGGAATCGCGTTTAAAGTGGTGGTGGCAAGTGCTTTGCCAGAACTCTCATTTCCAGCCTAGTTCATTTGGTAATCCATCAGGTGAGAAGTCGGCCCTCTAGCACGCTACCTCTGAGGGAGTGGGAGGCCTCCACTTGCCCTGTTCTTATGCTCAATTAATTCTTCATTGATGATTTCCCGCCTCATCATCTCGAGTAGGGCATCATAGGTGGTGGGATCTTGATTTTGCACATCCCTCCAAAATAAGGTATTCATGTTCAGGCCTCCTCTTAATGCGGATAGTGCCTCACGGTCGGTGACTTGCACGTAATACGTCATTTCATCGATGAAGCGAGATAGGAAGCTCTTTAGGGACTCCCCATGCGCTTGTCTCATGTCTTGGAGACTTTGGATGGGGACTTCTCCTTCTTTGCTTACCGCGAACCTCTTCAAGAATGTTGTCTTGAACTCGGGCCAGCTTATTATACTCCCAGGTGGTAACTTGCTATACCAAATTTCAGCCGCTCCACTAAGTGTTAAATGGAAAGCTCTGCACTTCACAGCTGAGGTGGCGTCCCTCAGACTTATGTAAGTTTTATAAGCATTCAAGTGCTTCTCTGGGTCGCCCTTTTCGTCATACTTTGGTATCTTTAGCATTACATAGTGGCTCGGAACCTGGGCACTCCTTAGTTCCCTCGAGAACGACAAATTCTCATCGTCGTCGTCTAAGTCACAGGATCTCTGATGTTCATCTGAATCATATTCCTCGGCCTCTTGCCGTGGTTGTTGGTGAGAGGTTCCAAGACGGTTCCTAACCTCTTCCTCCCTCCTTTGGCGCCTATTTCTAGGTGGAGCAACACGGGGGACATTTTCATGTCTTTCTTCCGGCTATTGGGGCATCGGAGGTGGAGGCTGTGGCCTTGTCCAATGCTGATGTGTCTGTTGTTGCCTAAGTCTCGGTTCAACGGGGCTGATTCTGTTAAATACAATGCTTGCCCTCCTATATCTTGACTCTTGCTCATACGAAGGTGGGAAGTTATCATGGTTCAATGGGACCTCGGCGGGTCGGCTAGAAGCGTAGTTGGAGGAAACATCAACTTCTACTTCCCTTTCAAATGGGCTTCTACCTCAACTATAGTCCGGCGAGGCAGTTCTATGACTTTGAATTTCGTCTTCTTGCTGGTAGTGCCCCTGAGGGGTGTATGGAGGAATGGAAAAGCCCCCCTGGCCTTGCATGTGGGCCATGAGCTCCCTCATAACCAAGTTTTGGTTAGCAATATCTCTCATGTTGGCAGCCATTTCTCTTGACAGTCGGGCCGTTGCCCGTATTTCACCTCTTCTTTTGTGGTGGTGAAGTCTTTGCCAGGCTGCTGGGGTAGCGGGTGGAGGAGGTACATTTGCGTTTTCTCTTACCCTCCTGTGGGGTGTGTCTTCATTTGAACTCATTTTATTTTCGTCTGACTTCAGATTTTACTAAGTTGTGGGGCTTCCTCTTATTCTTCTTCAAGAACAAATCCTTTTTCAAGGGGGGTGCCCAAACGTCATTCAATAAGCTTTCACCACAAAGTTGTTCGTGGTTATGGTATGGTTTCCCACAGACGGCGACAATCTGTTGATCCCAAAAAGTGTTGCCAACAGACGTCGGACCCACCCGCGCACACGTGAGCGAAGATCCTACACGCTGAGACACGTGTACAGTCTAGAACGAACAAATCAGGGGCGTGGGAGTAGCTCAATGACGCGGGACGAGAACGTTCGAAATCCGTCGGGATGTTCTTAATCCGATTGAACAATAATTACCAATCAGTGCTCATGACTATACATGTAAATATGTATGAACTTGTATTGGGTTGTAAGATAATATGAAAGAGAGAGTAAAATGTGGTTCTTGTATTGATTCTTACATTAGCCCTTCAATGTTATACAATGGAAGTATTTACAGTATTACATGTGAAATGGCAGCCCTTAGATAAGGTGACACGTGGCCTCATCTCCTTAATTCAAACATCTAATCCTAGACATCATCCTTAACTTGCTAGCTTGCTGCGCATTTATTGCTTGTGCAGAACTCCTTTTCTAGTGATAAGACTTGACATATGTACTCATGATAAACGTTTCATCAATCATTCAAACAAGATCTTTATGTAGAAGATTTCTTGGGAGAGGTGATCATGGAAGACGTTCCTTCATGGCTCTGAGGCTTTTGCCACTCACGTAGTACTTCCGCTTCAGGTCTTTGGCTATCTTCGCAGGCCTCGCTATATGGGCCTCGACATATGGAGTTCGGCTACTTTCATAGGCCTCGGTATATGGGCCTCGGCCATACATGCCACCTCGGCTGGATTGCCATGTGGTTCGTATTGAGTGGGCCATAGGCCCAAGTAGGTTGGCCAAGTATGACAATATGTAACAATAGTTATGATACGTTTGATTACCATTATTTTTCGTTCTTCCTTTTGTATTGTTTGATTGACACGTGACCATATTTTCTTTAAAATCAGGAAAAATATTTTATTTTAGGGAGAGCATGATTTTATTTTCTAAGTGAATTCACTATCTCTTTCTCTCTCTCATCTATCCACACCCTCTCATATTCCCACCAATAAAAAATGGACAAGTATAATATTTTTTAGGTTGAAAATTAAATTAATTAAATATATTTAAGATGCGTTTGATTGCAAACATAAAATTTATATAGAAGAAAATAAATTCTAGATAATTCAATTGCCTAAAACTTATTTGCATAAAAACTATCAAATTAAATGTGTTTGATTAATTTATTTTTCAACTTATAAAATATTATATTTGTTCGATTTTTATTGGTAGGTAGATGAGAAAGAGGATGGATAAGAGAGATAAAGAGAATGCTCTGAAAAATAAAATCTTGCTCTCCTGAAAAAAATATTTTCTTTGATTTTGAGAAAAATATGGTCACGTGACCAAAAGTAGAAAAATATTTTCCATAAAAAAATTTCAGTCAAACAACATAAAAATAAAAATTTTGATGAAAAATACATTTTTCATAAAAAATACTGACAATTAAACGGACCCTTAAATAGCAATTTTCTAAATAATTCTTTTAACGTAAATTTCATACTTGCAAAATCAAATGCATCATTAGGTTGACACCGACTCGAGGAATTTAAAAAGTAAAATCTTCTCACTCTCCATCTCTAAACCATACACGTGGTACTTCTCAACTGAACCGTCCCATTCCACGGACCGTACGGTATACTTCTGTCCGAGGTCACTCGTAAAAAATCTAGAATATTAATACCTGCCACGTGATTTTACCACTCTAACCCTGCCGTCAGAAGAAATAATTTCATAGGGGCTGTCTTGTACTTTCGCCTTGAAAACGCTCCCACGACAGTATAAGAGATATTTTTTAATAAACATCTCTTTTCATTATAAAATATCAGATAGAAATAACTTCGATTCTGGGAGATTTTCTGTGGATATTTGTCAGTGTGCTCGGCTACTCAAAACTCTTGAACCGAGTCACTGACTGAGTCGGCGAATGTGAGCACACGCCGGAAATAATGGAAGATGTATGTGCAATCGGAGGGGTCGGGGAAGACAGGAAGCTGAGGACGCACCATCATCAGCAAGCACTGAAGTGTCCTAGGTGTGATTCACTCAACACAAAGTTTTGTTATTACAATAATTATAACCAATCTCAGCCGCGGCACTTCTGCAAGAGCTGCCGGCGGTACTGGACTAAAGGCGGTATCCTCCGTAACGTCCCCGTCGGAGGCGGAAACCGGAAGACGAGCAAGCGGTCCAAACCGAAAAAAGAACGCAAGTCGAATTCGCATTCAAGCAGCAAGAGTCCCAGTCTCGCCGCCGCCGTGATGGCTGCCACTCCCACCTCAGCCAGTGGCAACATCGGCTCCACTACTGAATTAGGTTATAATTTTCCTGAATCGAAGTTTTATAATGTGAATCCGAATCCACAGGCTACGACTACAAACCATAGCTTTGATTCACAGCCGGTGGTGAATCAACCGCCGGACATCCAGATTTTCACCGGCTTCGGAAGCTTCGCGAGCCTGGAAAATATGCTAGAGTTTAACATAGCCGACATTTTCACATCGTCCGATCCGCTAGAGCAAGCTTCGATCGTAAAGAATCCTATCTCGGAGATTATGGATCACACGGTTAAGCAGATTGACTTCGAAGAGGATAATCGAATGACTGACAGCGGATTTGCGGCGGCGCTAGATTGGAGAACCATCGCTGGCGGCGGTGGCGAAGCAGGACGATGCGGAGATGAAGGGCCGTTTGATTTCAGTGGGACCGTTGATAAAGCTTACTGGAGTGATCAATCTCTTAATTATCTTCCATAAATCACTCTGTAAGATTTAAGGCTGTATTACATAAATTATTTTTTAATATAAAAAGAGAGAATAGTTTGAGGTCATTCAAATGATATTCTGATCTACAAAATTAATATTTTCTGAAAATAATATTAAATTAGTTATTATTACAAGATTGTGTAAATTTGAAACTTCGAATATTACTTTAGTGATGGTGTATCTTATTTTTCACAATATTTTAGATCTCGCTTTAAATTTTATTCTGTGAACTTTGTGTTTGAACTAATCTTCTAACTTCATATTGGAAAGACGCGGAGAAAAATCAAAATGACTCGAATTGAAATACGCAGTCAAGAAATGATACAAGGGAAGTGCGAGGTCAAGATATCAAAATTTGCAAATTTAAAATTGGGAACATTGCAACAGCGATTCCTAGTCTTTTCATTTTTTACAAACTTTACCCTGATCTTCATTTGTACCAGCGAATATCTTTAACTTTTTATAAATATGCACCTGAGATTCATTTGGGTGGAAACCGTCCAAATCACTGTCAATTGATTGAGAAAATTTCTTGAACTATCTGCTATCGCGACGATTTTATTGGATATTGATGCATTTTTGAATGACATTTTTGGACGGTAATTTAGACAGTTTTATTGGATGTTGATTCCTTAATTTTTCCAGTTAACTTACGGTGTTTGGGATGGCTCTCCTCCAGATGGACTTTAAGTGTATATTTATAAAAGGTTAGAAACCTCCATTGGTATAAAATGAAAATTAGGGTAAAGTCTGCAAAAAATTGAAAAGATTAGAAACCCCTACAACAATTTTCCTTATAAATTTGGTGTTGCTTCCCTTCTTTGTTTCTAGAGTGACACGAGTATTATATATTGGGAAAAACAACTATGGTGCCTAGATTATATTCTAAATTTAACAATTTAATAAGTGAAAAATTAGATAGAATTTTGACTTATTCGAAAATAAATTTCAAAAGAAAATATCATAGAGAAATTGTAATGGACGAGACAAGAGTTCGATCATTTCTCCTTAATATGATTTGATCCGTATTGATATTGACGATTTTTAAGCGCTCAACTCTCAAGATATAACAACCTTGATTTGTATTGTTAACATTTCAAATTACAAGAATGGCGAGCATACTAATATTTGATCTTTTTAAATTGGAAAGATGTAAAATGATATTTGAGAGTGAAATGAAAAGGACGAAACGGTGCACGAAAGAAGGGAATATTATTTTGCCAAAAAAAAAAAATTAAAATTTATGAAATTTATGATTTTGGAGCATGGCCCTTATTTAAGCCCATATCTTTAGAATTATTTTTTTGCTAATTGTATATTTTGTCAATGAATAATTTTACACGTAAATAAAAAAAAACTATGTTTTATAATTAAGGACCCGTTTGATTTTCATTATTTTCATTCTTTCGCTACAAAAATAAAAAATATGATCATTATCCATCACATTAAGTCATCATATTTGACTTTCAAACTCTTGTATGAATTCTGTAACGATTATATTTTGTGGTAATTACACAAAATCCTACCATTAAAATCATGAATTCTGAAATCAGATGAGAATTTTAATCTTTCTAAAATCAGATATTAGTATATTTAAATATTAATATTAATATTAAATATACATTTTTTTATCCCAAACCCTATCATTTTCTCTCTCGTTTACCCTCTCCCCAATTCGGCAGTCCTCACTCTCTCTCTCACCGTCTTCTCTCCCTTGCCCCAATCACCCACGGCTCCATCACCACCCACGACGCCATCACCACCCACGGCATCCTCGGCCAGAAGAAGCATGAATCGCCGGCCAGATAATGCAGACCATCGTCGCCGTGAGGATCTGCGACATATCCGAGCTTCGCCAAGACACCAATTGGTGGGTTTTTTATTTTTATTTTTGGTAAATGGTTGTTGGACGGTGGGCTGCGGCGGTGGATCTGGCCGTGATTGACTATTGTGTTGTGTGTTGTGGTTGTGTAGTGTCATGGGCTTGTGATGTGGTGGTATTGTGTGTGTACTGTGGGCGGTGGTTGTTCGTGGTGGTGGTGATGTGTTTGTGGTGGGTTGTATGTGGTGGTGTTGTGGATGAGTGGAGGTGTTGATACGGGCGGCGGAATGGTGGTAGAGTCCAGTGGCAGATTGGGGATTTTTTCTGGTGGGGGAGGTGCGATGGTGGTGGTGTTCGTGGGGGCGACGACAGCGGTTTGAGGAGGTGGTGTTGTGACCAATTATTTAGTTATTTGTGATTCCCAATTGTTGTGTTGGTGTGTGACGGGCGACGGTGATGGCGATGAAAATTGTGACTTTGACTGTTGCTCACAGTTGAAATTTGTTTATTGGATAATTTGTGAACAGTGTGGTGGTGGTCACGGTGGTCGTAGTGTTGTTGGAAGCGGTGGTCACAGACTATTTGGTCAATTGTGATTAGTGAATTGGTTAATCAGTAACCAATAAATAAAATAAATAATGCGTGATCAATGAAAAAGATAAATTGTGACTAAAAAATAATGTGTGACCTAAAAAATTAATAAATTGTGATTGTTGTGACCTATAATATTAGTGATATGTGACCTATAAGTAAATTGTGATTTTCGATCTATGACCGTTTGAATGGTTGTGACCAATTATCTACGTGATTGCTATTAATAATTGGATACGTGACCTAATAATTGTGACTGCGACATCTGATTGTGACTTACAATTGATTAAGTTGTGATCGAAAGTTAATCGTGACCTGAAAATTGTGATTGTGACTTCCGATTGTGACTCACTTTTGATTAAATTGTGATTGAAAAAAATAATTGTGACCAATTAATTCAATAATTTGCAATGAGTAAATACGTTGTGATCAATAATATTTTTGAATATGTGACCTATAAATTTTGTGAATTTGCAATCAAAAATCATCCCGTGACTTATAAAAATTTTGATTTGTGACCAAGGAATAAGTTATGATCAATAATTTGATAATTTGTGACTAAAAATTAATTCGTGACTAATTAATTAGATAATTGTGACAAAAATTATCTCGCGACTTATAAATTTTTTAATTCGTGACCTATAAAATTTTCGATTTGTGACCAATAATTTGATTAGTTGTGACTAAAGATTAATCCGTGACTAATTAATTTTTTGATTTGGGACCAATGAACAAACTGTGACCTATAAAATTTTTGAATTGTGATCGTAAAATAATTTTTGATATAAAATTTTTGATTTGTGACCAAAAAATAATAAGTAACTAATTAAATTGTTAAGTTGTGATCAAATTGTATAGATATGTGATCTAAATATATTTAATTAATAGATTAATTAAATCATAAATATATTTTAATAAAAATCTGATTTTTGAAGTTTGAAACTTGTTTTCTTAATTTTGAAATATATCATACTTAATCGCTTGTTTATGAAATTTTTCTTTATATTTTTTTATTCTCATTGTTACAAAAATGGGTATCAAATGGAGCCTAAAGATCTTTTAAAAAAATTCATTTTTTACGAAATTTATTTTAAAAAACAAGATATCGACACAAAACAAGACCTAATATATAGGACAAACCGACCTTAACCTACAATGACGAGCAAGTGGACAATGGGGGCCACAACATCAACCGACCATATGATCTCTCCTTTTCCATACTGCGAGAGACTCGACGTTTCCGTACTCTCCACCAGAAAAAAATGGGCCAATTTATTTTCAATTTCATTGGCACTAATTATAATGCGGCGAATCATATATCGCAAAATTTCCATTTGATGTACGTAAATTCCTATTTGACAATCATTATTTTCAATTTTTTTTTTTACATATTCATTTTTTATCATTTATCCACATAATAAATTATTGGGTAATTAGCACAAAACGTCTCTACCTTTTATGATTTTTGCGAAAAACATCATTATCTTTCGTTTTTTGCGCATTTCACCCCTACCTTTATCTTTTCTTGTGAAAAATATCACTTTCATCATTTTTCTCAATAAAAAGTTATAAAATGACTAATATACCCTTCTATTTAACTATAAAAAAAATAAAGAACTAATTGCAATCATAGTTCCAATTTTTAAAAAAGTTCAAAAGAGGAGGTAGAGGTGGAGGTGGAGAATTTTTTTTTTTTTTTTTAATTTGGAACTACGATTGCATTTAGTTCTTTATTTTTTTATTTAAATAGAAGGTTATATTAGTCATTTTATAACTTTTTATTGAGAAAAATGATGAAAGTGATATTTTTCACAAGAAAAGATAAAGGTAGGGGTGAAATGCGCAAAAAACGAAAGATAATGATGTTTTTCGCAAAAATCATAAAAGGTAGAGACGTTTTGTGCTAATTATCCTAAATTATTCTATACGTAAATTCAAATTTTTTCTTTACTTTTTAACTACACATTCTTTTAAAAATACTATTCAAAACTTTATTTTCTCCATATAATAATTGTCAAACAGGGTCTAAAGTTCTCTTCAATTCATGGATGTTTCTTAAGCAGTGCTCTAAAAATCCCACTTAAACAGTGCCTAGACATTGCCTAGGCACGAGGCTTGGACGAAACTTCACGTCTTGGAAATGAGCGCCTAATTAAGCTTTTTTAATCTTTTTTTTTTTATTTTTAAAAAAATATTTGATTTGACTTTAATTTCAAATTTCTAAATGATTTTATTTGTACAAAAGTCAAAAAGGAAATCGCGTTAGAAAATTGTAAGATATGGCTAATTAAAAGTTGGAAAAAAAAAACTAGTTTTTACATTTCGAAAACTTGAAATTTGAAGAATAGACTAATTGTAGAAATTATTAAGTAAATATAGTATTTTGTAATTTTAAATGTTTGGTATATAATATTTTAACTATTAAATAATTTTGAAAAATGATTGAAAATTGATAAATAATATTGGAGATAAGTGTGTGTGTTTATTTTTTTTATTTTTTATTTTTTATTTTTAACTTCTACGGCTCGTTTGGGCTCGTAAAACTTCAAATTTGACCTTCACATCTAGCCACATTTTATATATTTTTTTAAACACTGCTCTTAAGTACACTATACAATACTTTAAAAATTGACTCGTACATCGACTATAAAAAATAATAATAAAAAAATAAAAAAAATTCAAGAATCAAGCATGGTGCTTTGTCGCTCATCCGACGAGTCA